AAATCTAAGAGAACAGTTTCTAGTTTTGTGCCAACATCCATTTAACTACTGAACTCTTAACTCTTGAAGTTTGTATTTGTATTTGTATATACAGTTGAAGTTAGAAGTTTACATACACCTTAGCCAAATACATTTAAACTCAGTTTTTCACAATTCCTGACATTTAATCCTAGTAAAAATTCCCTGTCTTAGGTCAGTTATTTTCTTAGTCACTTTATTTTAAGAATGTGAAATGTCAGAATAAAAGTAGAGAGAATTATTTATTACAGCTTTTATTTCTTTCATCACATTCCCAGTGGGTCAGAAGTTTACATACACTCAATTAGTATTTGGTAGCATTGCCTTTAAATTGTTTAACTTGGGTCAAACGTTTCGGGTAGCCTTCCACAAGCTTCCCACAATAAGTTGGGTGAATTTGAGCCCATTCCTCCTGACAGAGCTGGTGTCACTGAGTCAGGTTTGTAGGCCTCCTTGCTCGCACACGCTTTTTCAGTTCTACCCACAAATTTTCAATAGGATTGAGGTCAGGGCTTTGTGATGGCCACTCCAATACGTTGACTTTGTTGTCCTTAAGCCATTTTGGCACAATTTTGGAAGTATGCTTGGGGTCATTGTCCATTTGGAAGACCCATTTGCGACCAAGCTTTAACTTCCTGACTAATGTCAATATATCCACATAATTTTCCTTCCTCATGATGCCATCTATTTTGTGATGTGCACCAGTCCCTCCTGCAGCAAAGCACCCCCACAGCATGATGCTGCTACCCCGTGCTTCACGGTTGGGATGGTGTTCTTCGGCTTGCAAGCTCCCCCTTTTTCCTCCAAACATAACAATGGTCATTATGGCCAAACAGTTCTATTTTTGTTTCATCAGACCAGAGGACATTTCTCCAAAAAGTACGATCTTTGTCCCCATGTGCAGTTGCAAACCGTAGTCTGGCTTTTTTATGGCGGTTTTGGAAGAAGCAGTGGCTTCTTCCTTTCTGAGCGGCCTTTCAGGTTATGTCTATATAGGACTCGTTTTACTGTGGATATAGATACTTTTGTACCTGTTTCCTCCAGCATCTTCACAAGGTCCTTTGCTATTGTTCTGGGATTGATTTGCACTTTTCGCACCAAAGTACGTTCATCTCTAAGAGACAGAACACGTTTCCTTCCTGAGTGGTATGACGGCTGCGTTGTCCCATGGTGTTTACACTTGCGTACTATTGTTTGTACAGATGAACGTGGTACCTTCAGGCGTTTGGATATTGCTCCCAAGGATGAACCAGACTTGTGGAGGTCTACCATTTTTTTGCTGAGGTCTTTTGATTTTCCCATGATGTCAAGCAAAGAGGCGCTGAGTTTGAAGGTAGGCCTTGAAATACATCCACAGGTACACCTCCAATTGACTCAAATGATGTTAATTAGCCTATCAGAAGCTTCTAAAGCCATGACATTTTCTGGAATTTTCCAAGCTGTTTAAAGGCACAGTCAACTTAGTGTATGTAAACTTCTGACCCACTGGAATTGTGATACAGTGAATTATAAGTGAAATAATCTGTCTGTAAACAATTGTTTAGAAAAATGACTTGTGTCATGCACAAAGTAGATGTCCTAACCGACTTGCCAAAACTATAGTTTGTTAACAAGACATTTGTGGAGTGGTTGAAAAACTAGTTTTAATGACTCCAACCTAAGTTTATGTAAACTTCCGACTTCAACTGTACTTGGATATACCCTGGGATTCCATAGAACACTTCTAAACCTTTATACTGTAGCCTAAAGGTTTTTGTGCTCTATGTTGTCATATGTCTTGTATGTACCATTCTTCACCATACATTAAGTTCCCTCCCAGGAAATAAGAGTTATTTGAATTGAATTGAATACTCACACACTCTAATACCAACCGTATACTGCACAACACATAAATACAATGCCTTCAGAAAGTATTCATACAGTGCCTTCAGAAAGTATTCATACCCCTTGACTTAATCCACATTTTGTTGTGTTATAGCTTGAATTCAAAATGGATTTTTTTTAAATACAAAAAATCCCATAATACCCCATTATGACAAAGTGAAAACGTGTTTAGATATTTTTGCTAATTTATTGAAATTGAAATACAGAAATAGCTAATTTACATACTGTAAGTATTCACACCCCTGAGTCAATACTTTGTAGAAGCACCTTTGGCAGTGATTACAGCTGTGAGTCTTTTTGGGTACGTCTCTAAGAGGTTTGCACACCTGGTTGTACAATATTTGCCCATTACTCTTTTTTAAATTCTACAAGCTCTGTCAAGTTGATTGTTGATCATTGCTAGACAGCCATTTTCAAGTCTTGCCATAGATTTTCAAGACGATTTATTTCCAAAAAATTTAACAAGGCCACTCAGGAACATTCAATGTCGTCTTGGTAAGCAACTCCAGTGTAGATTTGGCCTTGTGGTTTTAGGTTATTGTCCTGCAGAAAGGTGAATTCATCTCCCATTGTCTGTTGGAAAGCAGACTGAACCAGGTCTTTCTCTAGGATTGTGCCTGTTCGTATAGCTGTATTCCATTTATTTTTATCCTAAAAAAACTCCCTAGTCCTTGCCGATGACAAGCATACCTATAACACGATGCAGCTACCACCATGCTTGAAAATACCATGCTTGAGTGGTACTCAGTGATGTGTTGTGTTGGATTTTCCCCAAACATAACGCTTTGTATTCAGGACAAAGTTCATTTCTTTGCCACATTTTTTACAGTATTACTTAAGTGCCTTGTTGCAAACTGGATGCATGTTTTGGAATATTTTTTATTCTGTACAGGCTTCCTTCTTTTCACTCTGTCATTTAGGTTAGTATTGTAGAGTAACTACAATGTTTTTGATCCATCCTCAGTTCTCTCCTATCACAGCCATTCAACTCTGTAACTGTTTTAAAGTCACCATTGGCCTCATGGTGAAATCCCTGAGCGGTTTCTTCCTCTCCGGCAACTGAGTTAGGAAGGACGCCTGTATCTTTATAGTGACTGGGTGTATTGATACACCACCCAAAGTGTAATTAATAACTTCACCATGCTCAAAGGGATATTCAGCGTCTGCTTATAAGATTTGTACACATCTACCAATCGGTGCCCTTCTTTGCGAGGCATTGAAAAATCTCCATGGTCTTTGTAGTTGAATATGTGCTTGAAATTCACTACTCGATTGAGGGACCTTACAGATAATTGTATGTGTGGGGTACCGAGATGGGGTACTCATAAAATAATCATGTTAACGACTATTATTGAACACAGAATGAGTCCATGCAACTTATTATGTGATTTATTAAGCACTTGTTTTACTCCTGAACTTATTTAGGCTTGCCATAACAAAGGGGTTGAATACTTATTGACTAAATACATTTCAGCTTTACATTTTACTAAAATGTGCTAGAAAAAAAATCCACTTCAGATCAGTGACACAAAATCTCAATTTAATCTATTTTACATTCAGGCTGTAACACAACAAAATGTGGAAAAAGTAAAGGGGTGTGAATACTTTCTGAAGGCACTGTAAGCGCATACACATTCTCTCAAGCACACAAATATAGTTTGATACATTCACACTCATATGTGATACACAACACACACACACACACACACTTGTTGTTCAGTTTGAACACTATCTAATGATAGACATACTGGTACACACACATTGTTCAGTACATGCACGTTCTAAAACTCACAGTGTTTAATTAACATCCCTTCTCCACACTCACACACACACACACACACACACACACACACACACACACACACACACACACACACACACACACACACACACACACACACACACACACACACACACACACACACACACACACACACACACACTGCACATCAGGAAACATAAACCTATTTAATTAAACACACATAGACATTGAGTGTGTGTCTTGCAAAGGCAGAGAGAGTGATGTGTTTCAGAGGGAGAGATGTCTTCTACTTGTTGTATACACACACTGCACATTATAAATCACACACTATTTAATTAAACACAAACACACAGAGACGCAGTGTGTATCTTGCTAAAACCCATAGAGCGGTAGTTGCCGTCTCCCTGCTCCAGCTCACTAGGCCCCTGAGGTGACCACATATTTGTCTGGTGAGTAAGGAATGCGGTTACATGCCTTAGACATTAGCTATGACGGAGCGCTGGTTCCACAAGAGAGGGAGGGAGTGAGGGAGGAAGAGTGGGAGGGGAGGGGAGGGGGGGGGGTCAGAGTCTGAGCTCACGGCAAGTGAGCTCATTCACCCACCCCCCGGGCGAGCGAGCGTCATCCTCTACACAGAGGAGAGGGAGGGGGAGAAGTGTGAGCGAATGAGAGACGGGGAGAGCGAAACAGCACAACAATAGGGTACTGCTCTTCTGGCTGTGGGCTCACACACACGGAGAGAAGGCACGGAGAGACACACTCAGTAGCAGCTGCAGGCATACAGCACAGACAGACAGACAGACAGACAGACAGACAGACAGACAGACAGACAGACACATGTACACTCTTTCCACTTTCTTCTCTCCATAGTTATTCCTTTCATTATTCCTCAAAATACTGCTGGACCTCTATGGCTTTGGTAGATATTATAGGAAAAATATAATTCTTGCTGGATTTGAACTGAATGAGTTCCAGAACTGGCTTGTGTAACTTTTGGGCAGTACATCTACAGATGTTTGGGAGTAGCTTGCTTTCTGTAAGTGGGTTCCGTCCGTTCTCTTGAGTTTGGGGACTAAGGTTCCCTCATTGGACTTTGGGATCTGAGTTGGGACTTGAACTTGGCCACCACCAGTGGGAGTAGTGACGACTCTGGACTTTGTAGTGTGGGATTTTGGACCTGACCGGCTTTCCGTCTGAAGTTTTTCGGAACAAGTGATTTGTTTGTTTATCCATTCTGCTAACTTTTTCCCGTGGGACTCCCTTGGTCTGGACGTCAGTCAGTGTGTTCCAGATCTGAGTGCACCAGAACGCGTGTATGTTGAGCGTGTTGAGGGTGATGCCTCTGGACGTGGTCATAGCCCCGGCTGAGGACTGTTTCTGGCCTGTCCTGCAGGAGTCAGACAGGAGGCTGAAGATCAGAGTCCGCAGGACCAAGGAGGGGAGGGAGCTACGAGGTGTGTACTGACCCAGGCTGGGGGGGGGGGGGTGTCAATAGGATAGAAAGAGATGACTGAGAAAGAGAGAGAGAGAGCTCAGCGCTGCAGTACACTGTAAAACATTTCCTGTAAAATTTACAATAAGTTACTGGCAGCAATTGGCCAGTAAGTTACTGTAATTTATTTTACAGTACAGCTACTGTAATCCATTTTACAGTACCAACAATTTGATTATAATCTAATTTACAGTATTCACGGTAACTTGATGCCAGAGCAGAGCCGCTACACCTCTGACCTTTTTCCTACATACGTTTAATTGTTAGGGAACTACTGCCAAATAACACTTACATTGGTACAGGACTCTAACTAACGGGTGCAACAAATATATCCTCTTACAAGGCAAGCCTTAAAATATGTTAATGAGCCAGCAATTCTTTCTCCTCCCACAATATTTCTCAACAATGCACCCTAATTTACAGTATGCTGCAGTAAATATATATAGCAAAACAGTACTTTATTGTTGAATTGTTCAAAAATAAAATCAGCAACTGCTAATAGTGAATATTTAATTAGATATTACATTATACCAACTGATATTTGGTGTTGTACATCACTTTCACTTTAGGCCTTAACAAAGGCTTCTAAACTGACAGTGACTACAGGACAAAACAGATCAAAGGGACATGGCTAGCCACTCAACCATCAAAGGCTTGCGACTTGCTCCCATTCTGATCTGTTCCCTATATAAGTTTAATTGGTAGGGAAATAAAACCACATATCACTTAAATTGGTACAGTACTCTCACTAACATGCGCAACAAAAATAGCCAATTACAAGACATGCCTAAAAATATGTTAATGAGTGAGAAACAACAATACCATGCACTAGAGTTCAAAAGGTTTTTGGCACTCCAAAATTGCAGTATGATACTGTATTCTGAATTACAGTAAATCACTGGCAGTAATTGGCCAGTAAGTTACTGTAGAGTTTCAGGACATGGTATTTAGAATTCTTAAAATACAGTATATTACTGTATTCTGCAGGGTACAGCATTGTCACTCACGGGTGCAATAAATAAAGCCTCTTACAAGGCACGGTTAAAAATATGTTAATGACCCATAGACTCTTTCCCCGCCCACAAAATTTTCCCACAATGCACAATAATAAATACTGTAAAACACATGTACAGTATTTTACTGTACGTTCTACAGTAAGCTACTGTATTCAGTTTATACAGTATCATACTGTTGATTAATAGAGTAAGTTACTGATAAAATTACAAAAACAGCTAACAGTGTAAGACAGTGCTCACGCTCTCCGCCTGTGGTCATTGACATGTAAAACGATCACAAAGGCCAATTTCTCTTGCACTCTGTCGCTCTCTCTCTCTCTGGTTCTCCCACTCTATTTATTTTCTCTCTTTCTCTCTCTTCTGCATCGGCAGTGTGTGAAGCCAGGTGTTCTATGTTACACCTTTCACACAGCAGAAGACAATGGAGAGGTGTCACTATGCATGTGTTCCATTTTCTAAATGTGTGCACTGATATACTGTACAGTTGGTGTATTTCCAACATAAAGTGTGTGTGTGTGTGTCTAGCTATGTATACACAGCAAATTATCCAGTGTTAAATCAACACTGACAGTGTTGATGTTATTACACTTTGTCAGTGTTAGGGAATTAACACTTATTGTTACACAATAACACCTCATATAGTATTTTTAACCATTACACAATGATATCTATATCGCTTGACAAGGTCAATCAGTGTTGGGTTTGGGACATTACAATAATATAATAATAATGTCCTCATTGCAACATGCTCTTACATAAGTATTTTCAAAGAATTCAGAACTGGTAGCAGAAATGCTAAAACATTAGTCACATAACCATAAACCACTTAAACTGGTACAACACTTCAACTCATGGGTGGCCAAAAATAAAATGTTGAAAGCCACGCCCACACCAAGCCACGCCTCCAATATAATTTCCCACTGTGCCTTGCCTTTTCGAGTAAATTTTGAGTTACTACCCATGACTGTGTTAGTGACAGAGACATGGTTGTTTTATTTGTTCATTTTCAGTCCTGTGGAAGAACGCTACCATTAAAATTCAACTGTTTATAACAATACCTTAAATATATCTTAAGGCCTTACTTTGATGGCCAAGTTTAACCGTAACACAGTGATGTTAAGAACCTACTGGTTTACGGGTCACCATCAGGCCTTCAAGTCACATTATGCTGGCTTGCAAAGTGATGTGTGGTTCCTATTGGAATCCAGTCAGAGTTAGGATATCCAACAGTTGGAATTTGTGTTCACCTGCATCCAAAATGACTGTCAGGATTAGGGAAAATAATGATGGAGACTACCTAAACCATTTAAACTGGAAAAACAATTTCAGTAATGGGTGCAATAAATCTAACTAACTGATTGGATTAGTTTAGAAAAATGTATGTTATTTATCTTTGTGTAGAATAAGATTAATCAGTCAAACAATGAACATACAAAAACCCAGATATTAAAAACAATCCTAAAAAGTCTAGCTGCAGTAGAGCATGCTGGGAAATATGATAATGATGGGCGTGGTTTTGATGGGAAGGTTTAACACTCCACAGAGTAAAAGTGACACAATCACACGCTCACACTCAGCGCTGGTTATTAACACCAATACTGGGGTTCTTTTACACCACTGAGTGTTTCACTCTTAGAGAGCTAATTTAACTCCTGAAACAACACTATAAATATTACACTTGAAAATCAACACTAGGTAACACTGGCCAATGTGTATAGATGTGCTGTAGAGTGCGTATACTGCATCAGAGTATGGTATGCATGTGTTTCAGTGCAGTGAGCTGGTTCAGTGCAGTTAGCCCAACACCTGGTCCTGTTCACACTGCACTTTGCGTGCTCGTATGCGTGTGTTCACACCACAGCTTCAAGGCAGATTAGCCCAGAGAGAGACAAAATCACACGTTTGTCGTCATCTGTTGAGAATAGAGGTGTTATTAGTGTCATAGTGGTTATTTTTAGATTAGATCAGGAGGTTAGCTGCCTAGCGGCTACAGACCAGCCTCACTACTTACACAATTCAGTTTTTAGCTGCCATGTATACTGAAATAAAACTCAACTCAACTAAAAAATATCTGTTATTCACATGCTAACGCTACCATAATAACATATGGATCTCTGTTAGCCACATGCTAACGCTACCATACTGACATATCCTCCCGAGTGGCGCAGTGGTCTAAGGCGCAGTGGTCCTGGTTCGAATCCAGGCTCTGCTGTAGCCGGCCGCAGCCGGGAGACCAATGGGGCGGCGCACAATTGGCCCAGCGTCGTCCAGGGTAGGGGAGGGAATGGCAGGCAGGGAGGTAGCTCAGTTGATAGAGCATGGCGTTTGCAACGCCAGGGTTGTGGGTTCGTTTCCCACGGGGGGCCAGTATGAAAATAATAATGTATGCACTAACTGTAAGTCGCTCTGGATAAGAGTGTCTGCTAAATGACGTAAATGTAAATGTAGATCTCTGTTAGCCACATGCTAAAGCTACCATAACATAAGCATAGCACAAACAGATACTGGTTGCCTTTCAAGCCTCTATATTGCAATTGTGTTGTTCTTTGTGACATGCTGATCTAGTGGCTATCCTCAGGCCCCCTGCTGCTGTAGCAGACTCTTTGTGGAGCAGAGTGGAGTGGGGCATGTGTGCAATGATGTCATAGCGGTGGGGGAGACACATTGAAATGCTAATGTCCCCTACAGAGCACAGGGGACAGCTGGAGGGGCACAGAGGATGGTGTCATGTCTCTCCCATATGAACGATAGAAGAGAGGGATGGAGGGAGGGCAGTCATTCAGGCAAATCAATGCCCCCAGGATGGAGAAGGGAGGGGGAGTGTGTGTGTGTGTGTGTGCGTGTGTGGTGTGTGTGCGTTGCATGTGTGTGTTCCCCTCCATTAAGGCATAATGCAGCTGAAAGCCTTTCACACACACACACACACAAACACACAAACACAAACACAAACACACACACACACAAACACACAGAGAGGGGTCTGGGATTGAGGGCCAGTCAATAGTACCAATAGCGTAATGTAACAGAGAGGCTCTCTCTCTCTTTCTCCCTCTCTGTTCAGTCAATAGCTCAGTGATTTCAGGCCATACAAACAGACATCATATCATAACTCACCAATTCACCAGAAGACAGACTGTTTGTAGTAACGGAGGATGTGATTTGTGTTGGTGAAAAGGCATTTGTGCTGCTTTCCAAATTATGGCAACACACAAGCCATGTGTTTTCTGTGTTGAAAAGTTATCCTTTGTCCCCATGAACTTGCTACAAGCTTTCCATCTCTTTCTACAGTACATCGATATATGTTGATATACACTTATAAACATGTATTTCTCTATGAAATTCATTCATATGTGGAGCATCTTTAGATTGTATTGATTTGTGTACATTACCCTACTTCTCCCCATTGAGTGATTTGTGTACATTACCCTACTTCTCCCCATTGAGTGATTTGTGTACATTACCCTACTTCTCCCCATTGAGTGATTTGTGTACATTACCCTACTTCTCCCCATTGAGTGATTTGTGTACATTACCATACTTCTCCCCATTGAGTGATTTGTGTACATTACCCTACTTCTCCCCATTGAGTAATTTGTGTACATTACCATACTTCTCCCCATTGAGTGATTTGTGTACATTACTCTACTTCTCCCCATTGAGTGATTTGTGTACATTACCCTACTTCTCCCCATTGAGTGATTTGTGTACATTACCCTACTTCTCCCCATTGAGTGATGTGTGTTCATTACCCTACTTGAGTGCCCTATGGAGAGAGAGAGAGAGAGAGAGAATTCAGTAAATGAGGAGAGAAAAAAATGCATTATATAAGCAGCGGAGTGTTGGGACAGTGGAGATGGGATGTGGGAAGGGGAAATAGGAAGTCCGCGCTGGCTGGTGGGCCCATTATGACACCCTCTTTCCAGTGAGTTGGCTACCATGCATAGACTGAAAGGTGGATGGCTACTCAACAGCCAGGGTCAGTTTGGCTATTCAGTTCATAATGGTGATGGTGAGACTGTGGGGAATGGGCAAATGGTCCTAGAACAGTTGTTTTGAAACAGAACAGGCTTTTTTCAGTTTGAGCTGCACTTGGTTGACCCAACTGCAGGGATTGGGTCACTTAGTTGGGTTGTTTTCTTTAAAAACTACTGGGTTATTGATACTGGGTGCTGGGCTATAGACAGGTTGGTTGTTTAGCAACAAAACCAGAGTGTGCGCAACTAGGGGGCAAAACAGACGGGGTTGGCTTAGATTATTGACCACATGCAAGCTATATTTAGTCTCCAATGTTTATTGAAAACATAAATACATTTGCACAATGAGCACTTGTTGTCTCTCACATACAGTGAAGGAAAAAAAAAGGTATTTGATCCCCTGCTGATTTTGTACATTTGCCCACTGACAAAGAAATTATCAGTCTATCATTTTAATGGTAGGTTTATTTGAACAGTGAGAGACAGAATAACAACAAAAAAATCCAGAAAAACGCATGTCAAAAATGTTATAAATTGATTAGCATTTTAATGAGGGAAATAAGTATTTGACCCCCTCTCAATCAGAAAGATTTCTGGCTCCCAGGTGTCTTTTTATACAGGTAACGAGCTGAGATTAGGAGCACACTCTTAAAGGGAGTGCTCCTAATCTCAGTTTGTTACTTGTATAAAAGACAGCTGTCCACAGAAGCAATCAATCAATCAGATTCCAAACTCTCCACCATGGCCAAGACCAAAGAGCTCTCCAAGGATGTCAGGTACAAGATTGTAGACCTACACAAGGCTGGAATGGGCTACAAGAACATCGCCAAGCAGCTTGGTGAGAAGGTGACAACAGTTGGTGCGATTATTCGCAAATGGAAAAAACACAAAATAACTGTCAATCTCCCTCGGCCTGGGGCTCCATGCAAGAGCTCACCTCGTGGAGTTGCAATGATCATGAGAACGGTGAGGAATCAGCCCAGAACTACACGGGAGGATCTTGTCAATGATCTCAAGGCAGCTGGGACCATAGTCACCAAGAAAACAATTGGTAACACAAAACGCCGTGAAGGACTGAAATCCTGCAGTGCCCGCAAGGTCCCTCTGCTCAAGAAAGCACATATACATGCCCGTCTGAAGTTTGCCAATGAACATCTGAATGATTCAGAGGAGAACTGGGTAAAAGTGTTGTGGTCAGATGAGACCAAAATGGAGCTCTTTGGCATCAACTCAACTCGCCATGTTTGGAGGAGAAGGAATGCTGCCTATGACCCCAAGAACACCATCCCCACCGTCAAACATGGAGGTGGAAACATTAAGCTTTGGGAGTGTTTTTCTGCTAAGGGGACAGGACAACTACACCGCATCAAAGGGACGATGGACGGGGCCATGTATCGTCAAATCTTGGGTGAGAACCATTGAAAATGGGTCGTGGATGGGTATTCCAGCATGACAATGACCCAAAACACACGGCCAAGGCAACAAAGGAGTGGCTCAAGAAGAAGCACATTAAGTTCCTGGAGTGGCCTAGCCAGTTTCCAGACCTTAATCCCATAGAAAATCTGTGGAGGGAGCTGAAGGTTCGAGTTGCCAAACGTCAGCCTCAAAACATTAATTTGGAGATCTGCAAAGAGGAGTGGGACAAAATCCCTCCTGAGATGTGTGCAAACCTGGTGGCCAACTACAAGAAACGTCTGACCTCTGTGATTGCCAACAAGGGTTTTGCCACCAAGTACTTAGTCATGTTTTGCAGAGGGGTCAAATACTTATTTCCCTCATTAAAATGCAAATCAATTTATAACAATTTTGACATGTGTTTTTCTGGATTTTTTTGTTGTTATTCTGTCTCTCACTGTTCAAATAAACCTACCATTAAAATTATAGACTGATCATTTCTTTGTCAGTGGGCAAACATACAAAATCAGCAGGGGATCAAATACTTTTTTCCCTCACTGTACATTGTTACAGTTGTTGGTTAGCTAGCTAGCAAATTTGAGCCATATTAGCATTGACATGACATCAGTCAAAAGACCTCAAAACAAGACATGGTATCAAGAACAAGATGAAACGTGCTTAAACGAGCCACCTATGATTCCCCACATGGCAGCAGCTTGTCATTGTTGCTAGCTATCTGGCCATCCAGAATCACAACAACACACTGACTTCTGCCCCATTGAAGCGTGCACGTTTTCGTGACGTTGTCAGCTAATCCATCTATCGTTGCTGGGTTGTTGAGATACGACCCAGCGGGTCAGATCAGAAGACTGGAGTCGTAGTTTAGTAGGGGTGTGGCATTCAGATAGTTTTTTTTAGCCACCCCATGAGATTAAATGTTATTCCTGTTCTGTTGCATAGTTATCACATGTTAAGGTTAAAGATTAACATTTCTGTAGCCTCAATGACGCTTACAGAAATGTATGAGTTTCCTAAAAACTCATGAAAATCCACTTGTTGGGATACAATTAAGCAATAAGGTATATCAATAATTAGATTTTTTTCTTTAAGGAATTTTTTTATTGACTTATTAACAGACTAATGTACATTTACACATTATAAATAAGCGGTGTCAACAAATGTCGGCACGTGCATGTCCAAACCAGCAAGTCTGTGGAGGTCTGCAGGGCTTCAATGTCGTTGGGGGGGTGAGCCAGAGCCAGAGCTTGGTGGAGTCGCGTATTGAAAAGGGGTTCTGACTCCCCCTGTACAGCGCCAGTGTTCTTGGCAAGACCTCCCCTGCTGGCAGGCACAGGATACTGAGGGGGGGCTTCCTTGCATTGGTCTCTAGTGGCAGTGGTCTCCGACTGTAGTCCCGGACACACCACAGCCACTGGTCGGGAGGGGCTCTTGGGTGGCCATCCAGGATGTATCTCTGCACCGGCTTGGCCGAGCAGGATGGACCAAACTGTGCAAGATGTTGGCGCAATGTACCCATTTATGCCCAACCCTACACAGAGGATCAAGAAGGAGCTGTTTGACAAGGCCACATTTGAACACGCACATATCACAACAAATACTCTGGTTTTCAAAGTAAAAAATTGATTGCGCTCAGGTGTGTGACCCCCGGACAACACTGCATTTTCCCCCTCTGGCTGCCTGCCAGAGGTAAGGATTAGTGATTGGGTTAGGCGATGCCCCTTCCCTTCCCCCAACAACACAGCCTGGAGCCCAGTCCATTAGAAAGCCGCATCACAATGCTCCAACCACCAGGTGGTGCAAGGATCTCTCCCTCCATCATCTTCTTTGCCTGTAGTAGCATCAAACACAAAGGAGAGAGAAAAACATGACAAACGTCAATAATACATTTTCAAGTGTCATGATCAGGGTCAGGGTTAGAATCAGGGTTAGGGCCAGGGTTAGAATCAGGGTTAGGGCCAGGGTTAGAATCAGGGTTAGGGCCAGGGTTAGAATCAGGGTTAGAATCATGGTTAGGGCCAGGGTTAGAATCAAGATTAGGGTCATGGTTAGGATCAGGGTTAGGGTCATGGTTAGAATCAGGGTTATGGCCAGGGTTAGGATCAGGGTTAGGGCCAGGGTTAAGCGACGCCCATTCCCATTCCCCGCTCAAAAAATGAGATGTTATTGGCCACCCATGAGAGTAAATGTCCTTATATATATAATATATAAAATATTACTCTCATGGGTGGCTAATAACATCCAGCTGAAAGCCAAGTCCCTAATAAGCCACGCCTCCTGAAAATAACCTAAGGATGACGTTAAAAAAGACCCAGCTTCTAGGTCAACCAAGCATGAGAGTAAAAAATACCCAACTGATGGTCCTGTGTAGCTCAGGTGGTAGAGCATGGCATTTGCAACGCCAGGGTTGTGGGTTTGATTCCCACAGGGGGCCAGTATGGAAAAAAAAATGTATGCACTCACTAACTGTAAGTCGCTCTGGATAAGAGCATCTGATAAATGACTAAAATGTAAAATGATGGTTACAATAACCCATGTTTGGGTAATCCCAACAACCCAACTTGTTGGTGTATTCAAGCAACCTAACTGGCTGGGTCGAAATAACCCAAATTGGGTTGTTTTTAGCCCATCCTTTTTGTTTGTGGGGTACATCCTAAATGGCACCATATTCCCTATGTAGTGCACTACTTTTGACCAGAATCCTATGGGCCCTGTTCAAAAGTAGTGCACTACATAGGTAATAGGGTACCATTTGGGACGCAGATCTCTGACTGTGTTTGGTCATAAGACTGAAGGTGATCTCAGCGCTTACAGACAGTTGACTTTCTGATGTCATCTCATCAGACAGCTGGGCCTCAGTATGTCACAGGGTATTTTCAGTGATGTGTGTGTGTGTGTTTGGATTGAAATGGAGAGATGTGTCATCCGGTGCTTTTGGGGGATGTGAGTGCATGTCTCTCTGGCACATCATCAGGTACTTTCTGAGTGTGAGTGTGTATGAGGGCACGGTATATGTGTGTGTGCTTGGTGGGTTTTTCCATAGTGACAGCACCCCGGGGACAACAGACTCAATGGTCGGCCACATCATCCCGTGTTTGTTGCCATAGCAACGTTAACTCTGAAGGCCAGGTGACCAGCGACGGTGACAGGGAGATTGTGTGTTATCAGTGGTGACTAAGAACACAGCACAGGACCACTGTAAACCTTTGGACAGCCCAGTGGTGTGTGTGATGATGGGTGTTGACCCAATGTTACTGAAACGTTATAGCCCTCAATAGACCCATGCAGGCACACAATCCTGACTTCTCATCTCTGCTCTCTGTACCTGAGGAGAAGAAGGGGTAGATTGTTTTGCACAAAGGCAGCATTATCTGGTGAACACCTGCTGGAGCTTCTCAGAATATCCCATGCTGACCCTATCCTCTCAATAACTCTCCTGTAATGAAAAGGGAAATGTAACTTAAGTGACGTGTGTGTCGTGTCCCGAGTGGCGCAGTGGTCTAAGGCACTGCATCGCAGTGCTAGCTGTGCCACTAGAGATCCTGGTTCGAATCCAGGCTCTGCTGTAGCCGGCCGCAACCGGGAGACCAATGGGGCGGCGCACAATTGGCCCAGCGTCGTCCAGGGTAGGGGAGGGAATGGCAGGCAGGGAGGTAGCTCAGTTGATAGAGCATGGTGTTTGCAACGCCAGGGTTGTGGGTTCGTTTCCCACGGGGGGCCAGTATGAAAATAATAATGTAAGTCGCTCTGGATAAGAGCGTCAGCTAAATGACGTAAATGTAAATGTGTCCTGTTTATGTAGCGTTGTCCAGGAATACACTCCTTCCTCAGTCAGAGAGGGAGAGAGCATGCCAACACACAACCTTCCTTCCTTCCTTCCATCCAGTGTGTGAATGAAGACCTTTACATATGGAGGAAGGGTTTTGAATGAGGAACATTACAGGAGTTATTATATCATAGACTCCTGCTGAAACAAAGTGTGCTAATTGAGGAAAGAGGGACTCCCTTAGTAGTAACAAGAGCGCACTCTCTCTGTCTCTCTCTTTCTGTCTCTCTCTCTCTGTCTCTCTCTTTCTGTCTCTCTCTTTCTGTCTCTCTCTCTGTCTCTCTCTTTCTGTCTCTCTCTCTCTGTCTCTCTCTTTCTGTCTCTCTCTCTCTGTCTCTCTCTCTCTGTCTCTCTCTCTCTGTCTCTCTCTTTCTGTCTCTCTCTCTCTGTCTCTCTCTGTCTGTCTCTCTCTTTCTGTCTCTCTCTTTCTGTCTCTCTCTCTCTGTCTCTCTCTCTCTGTCTCTCTCTCTCTGTCTCTCTCTTTCGCTCTCTTTCTGTCTCTGTCTCTCTCTTTCTGTCTCTCTCTTTCTGTCTCTCTCTTTCTGTCTCTCTCTTTCTGTCTCTCTCTCTCTGTCTCTCTCTCTCTGTCTCTCTCTCTCTGTCTCTCTCTTTCTGTCTCTCTCTTTCGCTCTCTTTCTTCATTTATTTATTTCTCTCTTTCTCTCTTTCTCTTCCTGTCTGCTGCATGTGGAGAGGTGATGTCATCTTTCTGCCGGTTACCATTAATAGCTGGATACAGGCAGGCCCTCCTCTCCTCCTCTCCTCTCTCCTCCTCTGCTCTCTCCTCCTCTGCTCTCTGGTCTTAAAGGGAAAGGCACCAGATATAGCCCTCTGTCTGTCTGTCTGTCTTTTGTCTGTCTGTCTGTCTGTCTGTCTGTCTTTCTGTCTATCTGTCTGTGGGTCCGAATACACTCTGCTCTTGCAGACTCCACCATGAACCATATTCAGCCCAGCTCAGCTCTGCCGTTCAGACTCACATCCACTAGGTTAAACTGAGGTTACAGGACCAGTTATATATTACTAGCAAAGTGTTTACTTACAGCTTTGTGTGTGTGGAGTTAAAGGGTGTTGTGTTGTAGCCTGGTGTGTGTTACACTGTTAGGCTATGTCATGTCATGTCCTGTGCTGTGTGTGCTAGTTTAGCAGGGTGATGTCATGTCTTTGAGTGTGTGTCTTTGGGTGTGTGTGTGTCTGTGGGTGTGTGTGTGTGTGTGTGTGGCAGTAGCCCAGATAGGGTCAGGCAGGGCTGAACCTAGATTAGGTTCTAATCCTTCTGCTGGGGCTCAGGGTTTCCTTGAAGCACTCCTTCTTCCCCCTCTTCCCTCCCTCCTTTCCTTGCTTGGCGAGGTCATTCGCTCTCCCCCTTTCCTCCCCTCTTTCCTCCAGCCAGAAGTTATACAACCATGGTAATGCAGAGTAATGCAGAGTAATGCAGAGGAATGATGAGTGAGTGTGTGTTTGTACGTGTGTGAGTCAGACTTAGAAAGGGAGCAAATGTGTATTATGTCTTTGTGTTGTTTTGCGTGCTGCTGTATGAACGCCTGTGGTTAGTGTATGTTTGCGTACTGCACGTCGTGTGTGAGCTGCGCGTGCATGTGTGTGTAAGCTGTGTGTATGCGCGCGTGTGCGTGTACTGCGCGGTTGTCAGGGGCACGTTACTGGGCCTCTGGGCTGGCCCTGCACCTGTGTCCTCTCACATTCCCCAGCCCTGACGCAATGCTCTGCTACAGGACATGAGCTCATGCAGGAAACAGAGCCACACACACACACACACACAGTCTTTAACACACGTACATGCTGAAAGTGGAGCCGTCTGCACTTAAAGACACACATTCCTCACCGCCCAGCAGCCAAACTGTCTCCCAGAGAGCAGCAGAGAACGATTTCCTACTGAGCTGGGAGCAGAAACACTAACCCACATTCTAACTCCAACTGTTATGTATGTACACAGTTTGAAATGGTTCGGCCATGTTGTTGAAACACAAGTCTGTAATGTAAGAGGATTCAGTGCACAGTCAGGGAGATACTGTGTATTATAGAGAACATATGCAGCATAACACGGAAAATGTAACATCAAGCAGGTTTCTGTGTTGGAGTTGTGAGTTCTGTATGTGCAACTTAACCATGAGCAGTGGCTCCCAAACGTTTGCTGAGTTGGGACGTGTTATTTATTTAGAGTATAACTGACCTTTCCTCCTCTCTGTCTCTCTCTCTTCCTCCTTTAGGGGGCTTTGCTGCGTTCTCCTCCTGTTTCCCCGGGCTTTGTGAGGGCAAGCCAGCTCTGCCTATGAGCATATCCCAGCCCTGCCTACCAGTAGCTAATGTAGGCCCCACACGCATCCTACCACACCTCTACCTGGGATCACAGAAAGACGTCCTCAACAAGGTGAGCCCGTAGCAGTCAAGGGGAAGTAGAGGGAATGTGAGAGGAAAGGAAGTACAATAAACCATTAGCTTTGTTGCATTTTTCTCTGTTATTGCCTTTTCTAACAGTCCCCTGTCTGCATCTCTCTACGTCTGTCTGTAGGACCTGATGGTTCAGAATGGAATCACATATGTGCTGAATGCCAGTAACACCTGCCCCAAGCCTGACTTCATCAGCGAGAGCCACTTCATGCGGATCCCTGTCAATGACAACTACTGTGAGAAACTACTGCCCTGGCTGGAGAAAACCAATGAATTCATCGGTAAGTCATGATTGTGTGTGTCTTTACATGTGCAGAGAATATAATATATACCATTTAGAAGACGCTTTTATCCGAAACGACTTAAACTCATGCATACTTAAAGGTTTTATATATGGGTGGTCCCGGGAATCGAACACACTTCCCTGGTGGTGCAAGCGCTATGCTCTACCAACCGAGCTACAGAATATGCACTAGTAATAGTAACCTGAGCAGGAGCAGTGTATGTCACACAACATAGTGAAACAGGCCTCATATTCAGTATATCACAATATCGTAATGTATAGCACCGTATCACCCTCCTTGTTTTCACAAGTGGTACACTCCCAAAGCGAGGTTAATCGTCATGACGACGACCCCCTGTGCTGAATAGGAAGAGGTGGTTTGTTTTCTATGGGTGTTCCATAGACTGGTTAGTTGTTTAGCAACAAAGCCGACGCGTGCGGAACTATGAGTCAAAACAGACGGGGTTGGCTTAGATTGTTACTAACATGTAAACTATATTTAGTCTCCAATGTTTATTGAAAACAGAAATAAAGTTGCACAATGAGCACTTGTTTCTCAAATACATTGTTACAGTTGTTAGTTAGCTAGCTAGCAAATTTGAGCCATATTAGCATAGACATGACATCAGTCAAAACACCTCAAAACAAGACATGGTATCAAGAACAAGATCAAACTAGCTGAAACGAGCCACTTACGATTCACCACATGACAGTTTCTTGTCATTGTTGCTAGCTATCTGGCTATCCAGAACCATAACAACCCACAGCCTTCTGCCCCTTTGAAGCACGTGCATCGTTTTCATGACGTTGTCAGCTAACCCGTCTATTCTCCCAGGAGACTCTATATTCTATCTAATCCTATTCGATGGGCGTTCCATTCTCCCAGGAGATTCTCTGTTCTATCCAATCCTGTTCCTGGGTTTGGGTACAGCTGTGTGTGTTCACACGTGTTTGTTCCCCCCTCCCACAGACAAAGCCAAGGTGTCAAACTGCAGAGTCATCGTGCACTGCCTGGCTGGAATCTCACGCTCAGCAACCATCGCCATCGCATACATCATGAAGACAATGCGCCTGTCATCGGATGACGCCTACAGGTACGCTCTCTCCCCAACGCTCCCTGCCAGCTGAGTTTAAGTTGCAGCATCTTTAAAAAGGTGACTCAGTGTTTAAGGAAACGCTAGACACTCATCTTAACCCCCCAGTTGCCAGAGGACAATAGGAACTAGTTGTGTTCTCTGGAGAACATTGCCTAGGATCATCTTTTGTGTGGCAGTTAGAAGTTCACACCAGTTCATTCGGGGGATAACCTGCTACTTAATTACAAGCAACCCAACAATAAATATTAGGTTTACACAGGAAGTAGCTTAGAATAACTTTACTAAATATTTGTATTGCTTTACTTTGCAACTGGAGCCCCAACTCTAACTGGAACTAACATTTTGCCCTCTTATTTCCCCTTGACCAGGTTTGTGAAGGACCGACGGCCTTCGATTTCGCCCAACTTCAACTTCCTGGGCCAGCTGCTGGAGTTTGAGAAGGGGCTGCGGCTCCTCCAGGCGCTGTCAGATGACAAGACCTCAGAGGGCAAAGGTCAATCCCAGGGCTCAGAGGTCAACTGGGTCAGCTCAGGGTCAGAAGTCAACGAGCCCCAGACCCCACCAGAACCGAAGCTCCCCTCGCCGACTTCTCTCCAGCAGGGCTTCAACGGCCTCCACCTGTCGGCCGAGCGCATCCTGGACACCAACCGGCTGAAGCGCTCCTTCTCCCTGGACATCAAGTCTGTCTACTCCCCCAGCAGCCCCCACTGCTCACGCCTGACAGCGCCCACACACTCCGAGGATGTGCCCAAGCTGTGTAAGCTGGACAGCCCCCCTGTCAATGATGTCTGCCCCCAGTTCTCCCCCGTCCCAGACAGCCCCAGCTCGGCCGAGTCGCCCTTCCCTTCCCCGGGGTGCGGCGGCAGCATCGGAGGTCTCGGCGTCGGGGGTCCCAGTGAGGGGGGCGTTCGTTCTGGAGGTCCATCATCGTCCAGGCCCAGGAGGAAAGCCAAGCACGGCCCTGGATCTGGGTCCACAGCCAGTTCCCCGGTACATCCCCAGTCCCTCAGTCTGACTCTGGGACGCTCCCTGCCCGTCCACAAGAGCCCCAGCCTGGAGGAGAACCTGAAGGGCTCCATGCGTCTCTCCCTGCCCACCATGGAGTCCGGGACAATGTGGACCAAACACAGAGACACAGTCCAGGCCACCACCCCAGTCACTCCTGTCACACCCACCGCCGACGCCCCCTGGTACTTTGGGGCTGAAGAGGTAGGGGAAGGAGAGATGGAACTAGGTGGAGACGGAGGAGGAGGGGTGGAAGTGCGATTCGGAAGCAGTTCGGCGTACGTGGCGTTCGGGTGTAGCGAGGGGGTGCGGCTACGGGAGAAAGTGCAGCGGGACAAAACAGCATCGTCGTCATCAGTGCCATTGCAGAGGGACTCCTCAATGACCGTCGCCAACGGGACGGTCTCCAACGGCAACGAGAAGCAGTTCAAGCGACGCAGCTGTCAGATGGAATTTGAGGAGGGCATCTCCGATACGCGTTCCCGTGAGGAGCTAGGGAAGATGGGGAAGCAGTCCAGCTTCTCTGGGAGCATGGAGATCATCGAGGTGTCCTGACTAACCGCACTCCTGACCACAACCGGCCCACCCAGGGAGGAGGGAAAACGGACCTGAGGGAGGAGGGAGGAGGGAGGACAGAGGGGGGAAATGTACGCTCCCCACACAGACAGTGTTAAAGACTCAAACTCTGAGAAGACAGAAATGCCAGAGAGATTCTGGGAGTCTCTTATCTAGCTAGTGATCCTAGACTAGACATGGGGTTCAGCTGGCTGTTGATTTACTAGGTTACATTTACAGTACTATCAACCAAAGCTCTGAAGAGAACAACTATGGGATGGGGGGGGGGGGGGGGGGCACTGACATTGAACTAGTTCCTCTGTATGGTGTCAGTTAGAGAAATCTCAAACAACACCATATCACCCATATAGTGCACTACTTTTGACCAAAAGTCACCAAAAGTATAGTGCTATTTTGGTAATAGGGTGTCATTTGAGACATAGCCAAGCGCTTTCCTCCCAAAGACTTCAGCCCCAGAAAACCACAACCCCAGCAGGGCTCAGTCTGCCCCTCCCTTCATTACAAAGACTTAGAAAGAGCTCTGTACCCCAGAAACCACCACAGCACAATGCAGAGAGAGACTATTCAGACTCTCCTAAGAGACTATACCGGTGGTACTGCATCAAAACAGTGATGGATCCTCCATGTTGGCGTGTCAGCCCATCATGGTTTACGAAGACTTTGCAGTTTAAGAGGACTCATAGTGACCCATAAAGATGTGTCTGCTTTCTCTATTCCAGTGTTTAACAGTGTGACATGACTGAGGTTTGGGGCGGTGGGGAGGAAAGGGGTTAGGTCTAAGTTACGCCCTCCCTGTAGTGGAGTTCAGTACTCGCATGTCTCACTCCACATCCCCCATGAATACCCCTCCCCAGCCTCTACAGAGCATGCTCCAGGGTGGCTGGCGACAGACAGACAAATACTATAGATACTATATGAATATATATAGCGATTTTAATGGACTTTTAATCAACAAAAAAAATCTCAGTTATGGTTTTAATTTATTTGATCTGTTCATTCTGGTAATGAGAAATAATATAATGTTTTGTGGATTTTTCCTTTTCCTTCGTTAATCTCAGTTTTTGTTGTATGGTATTTATGAAACACATACAACCACACACACTCATGCACACACAACTACAGGCAAGCAATATGTGCTGTTCCTTATTTGGAGGGAGAGTTGATGTATTTTGGGTTTCATCTGACATTGAAATGCACTTTTCTGTTACTCTTAAAAAAGGGTTATCCCATCCACTTCCTAAGAGGGTACCAACACACTCTAACCCAGGGGTTGGAAAATTACAGCCCATTCAATCCGGCCCACGGGAGGTTTCAGTAAAAAAAACGTAAAAAACTGGGGGGGCAAATTATTATTTTGGGTTTTAAAAATATTCCAGGCCACACTTGAACATCTAAAACTAGATAGAATGTTTGTAGAAATTATAATAGACCTATATATTTTCAAATAACTGCCCTTTTTCTGGCCCCCAAATTGATTTTGTCAAACAAATCGGTCCCCAAAACGTCTGTGCTACCCTCAGTTGAATTTCTAAATCCCGATGTGGCCCTCGAGCCGGAATGTTTGCCCACCCCTGCTCTTCCCTCTGGTGACATCACCAGGTGTGTGGTATGGTGAAGAACAGTCATCTGAGAGGTTTCAAGCTACGTCCCTATGAGCATGAAAACGTTGAACTTACAATGAAAAGATGTTGAAAATACATATTTGTGGTTGAAAAGATGTATTTGTGGTTGAAAAGACGTTGGAAATATGTATTTGTGGTTGAAAAGACGTTTAAAACATGTATTTTTGGTTGAAAAGATGTTGAAATAGGTATTGTTGGTTGAAAATACATTAAAAAATAAGTATTTTCAACGTCTTATGTTCACTGAGATGACTTCAGTTGAGTGTAATTAAGATGTTATTTATTGTGATTGTGGGCTCCTACAGTTAGTGCATCTACTGGGAGACTGTTAATGTGTGTGAGCGAGAGTGAAGAACTTTACTCAACCCAGTACTCTTCTAAAGAGCAGAATTATTGTAGGAAGGACTGTTGATTTCTCCAGGGCTCATGACAACAACTACCGGTATATGCAAGTAGATCCACACAGTTGACAATGTTAGAGACATCCACCTAACACACTGCTAAACTCACTCTGTTGGCTAGTTTCCAAACACACACACACAGAACTAAACAGTGTTGGGATATGAGAGAAGCCCATAGCTGAAACAAACCCCCTCCACACACACATACACACACACAGACATAAACACACAGACACATATAGTCACACACAAAGATACACCGCCACCTTTCGTTTGTTCTCAGGGGATCTTTCAGTGAGCCAAGCCTGGCGCAGGGTACACAACTGCTTGCACATCAGCACAATGCAAGTCGCTCCCTCCCTCTCTCTCTCTATCAATCTATCGCTCTCACTCTCTTATTTTCCAAAGGTTTGATAAAAACAAAAAAAACAAAAACGGAAGGGATGAAACTAGAACGTGATTCAGAGGTGAATAAATGAATGCTATTGCTCTCCTGGTGCGAGATTGTCTATTTATTTATGATGTATGTATATGTGTATTTTTCTTTTTTCTTTGGTTAGCTTTTCTCTATGGCGACCTTTGACCTATACCTTTGTGCTGCTGTAAGGTCAGACCTGGATTTCCTGTGTTCAGTTCTCTGAGGCTTTCCTTCTACTCTCTTTAATTTTAAACAGTGTTGTTATAATTATTTAAAAACATGTTAAGAGAAGATGCAGGCTGTCCCGATTGCTATAATTGTTGGTATTGATGTATTATTATGATTATTATTGTTATTATGTTGTGTAAATAGCAAGGTATCTAAGAACATTGATGAATTTAGGTCAATCTTGAAAATAAAATCCTGATACCTTAGGCTGCTTGATGCAAAATACCTCAGGTTTTTCCTTCCCTGTACCTGTTTTGTGAAAATGAGACAAAAATACAAAAATTACAAAATATGAACTGTTCTCTGTCTCTGTTTTGGTTTTAGGTGAGTCCGTCTTGGGCTGGTCGTACACATGGGATAATTGCAGGACAAAACAAAGCCATACAGGCTGGCATATGGATAGAAAACAAAGCGTTAGGCTTGACAAACTTTATGCCTAAGGGGAAATTTGGCTTGGACATCGTAGCTGCACTATCACAGCAAGACATGAAATCCACACGATCAAAAATATACTGGAGCCCATATACATTACACAAAGTACACATACAGTGCCTTCAGGAAGTATTCACACCCCTTGACTTTGTCCACATTTTGTTGAATTTAAAATGGATTACATTGAGATTTTGTGTCACTGGCCTACACACAATACCCCATAATGTCAAAGTGGAATTATGTTTTTACCCATTTTTACTAATTAATAAAAAATGAAAAGCTGAAATGTCTTGAGTCAATAAGTATTCAACCCCTTTGTTATGGAAGGCCTAAATAAGTTCAGGAGTAAAAATGTGCTTAACAAGTCACATAATAAGTTGCATGGACTCACTCTGTGTTCAATAATAGTGTTTAACATGATTTTTGAATGACTACCTCCTCTCTGTACCCCACGCATGCAATTATCTACAGTGGGGTAAAAAAGTATTTAGTCAGCCACCAATTGTGCAAGTTCTCCCACTTAAAAGAGAGGCCTGTAATTTTCATCATAGGTACACGTCAACTATGACAGACAAATTGAGGAAAAAAAATCCAGAAAATCACATTGTAGGATTTTTAATGAATTTATTTGCAAATTATGGTGGAAAATAAGTATTTGGTCACATACAAATACTTGTTATCAGTATAAAAGACACCTGTCCACAACCTCAAACAGTCACACTCCAAACTCCACTATGGCCAAGACCAAAGAGCTGTCAAAGGACACCAGAAACAAAATTGTAGACCTGCACCAGGCTGGGAAGACTGAATATGCAATAGGTAAGCAGCTTGGTTTGAAGAAATCAACTGTGGGAGCAATTATTAGGAAATGGAAGACATACAAGACCACTGATAATCTCCCTCGATCTGGGGCTCCACGCAAGATCTCACCCCGTGAGGTCAAAATGATCATAAGAACGGTGAGCAAAAATCCCAGAACCACACGGGGGGACCTAGTGAATGACCTGCAGAGAGCTGGGACCAAAGTAACAAAGCCTACCATCAGTAACACACTACGCAGCCAGGGACTCAAATCCTGCAGTGCCAGACGTGTCCCCCTGCTTAAGCCAGTACATGTCCAGGCCCGTCTGAAGTTTGCTAGAGTGCATTTGGATGATCCAGAAATAGGATTGGGAGAATGTCATATGGTCAGATGAAACCAAAATATAACTTTTTGGTAAAAACTCAACTCGTCGTGTTTAGAGGACAAAGAATGCTGAGTTGCATCCAAAGAACACCATACCTACTGTGAAGCATGGGGGTGGAAACATCATGCTTTGGGGCTGTTTTTCTTTAAAGGGACCAGGACGACTGATCCGTGTAAAGGAAAGAATGAATGGGGCCATGTATCGTGAGATTTTGAGGGAAAACCTCCTTCCATCAGCAAGGGCATTGAAGATGAAACGTGGCTGGGTCTTTCAGCATGACAATGATCCCAAACACACCGCCCGGGCAACGAAGGAGTGGCTTCGTAAGAAGCATTTCAAGGTCCTGGAGTGGCCTAGCCAGTCTCCAGATCTCAACCCCATAGAAAATCTTTGGAGGGAGTTGAAAGTCCGTGTTGCCCAGCGACAGCCCCAAAACATCACTGCTCTAGAGGAGATCTGCATGGAGGAATGGGACAAAATACCAGCAACAGTGTGTGAAAACCTTGTGAAGACTTACAGAAAATGTTTGACCTGTGTCATTGCCAACAAAGGGTATATAACAAAGTATTGAGAAACTTTTGTTATTGACCAAATACTTATTTTCCACCATAATTTGCAAATAAATTCATTAAAAATCCTACAATGTGATTTTCTGGAGAAAAAAAATCTCCTTTTGTCTGTCATAGTTGAAGTGTACCTATGATGAAAATTACAGGCCTCTCTCATCT